TTATACATAGTTATTTAAAATGCAACAATTTTCCAGATGACCGTCAATCACTGCAGTTTAAGAGGTCACCCTGTACCTACCTATGGGTTTTAAAAACTTTGAGTACTGCAAAATTGATCTGTAATTAAGTATTTTTCAGGTGTATACTCTATAGACTATTACAGTACATATTATTATTATACCTATTTAAGTTTCAGGTGTATATATTAAACATATATAAATATATAATAGGTACCCATATATATTTTTTTAACGAAATCGCATACCCGGTCAGGCGGCTGTCGTAGTCAGATGGGGGAAAAAGCAATTCTGAAAATTACCCTACTTGACCGGAGTGCGGAATACAATCGTTTTTTCGGTTCAACTATTTCAATTAATTTTACGGGCGGATCAGATTAAAAAGTTTTTTTACGCCTGGCACAGATAAAGAAATCGTGGATTTTCCCCTACCCTCCGTTTATTTAAATAGATATTAAAGACGATGAGTAATATTTCACTCAGCCAAAAGTATTTAACTTCTGAGTTTTAAATTAAAGAAGTTTTGTATAAGTTTTCAACCACTTCGTTCGACATATGTCAAGTGCTTATAACAGCGTGGTAAACGAAACCTATATAATATCTGAGAGAATCTCAAATTTGCGAACATAACTTACCATTGATATTGCTTAGATTATTATTTAGTGTAGGTGGATACCTATGTATAATATATACCTGCATATCCATATACCTACACATCTATAATTATTGTTCTTAGAACATTATACAAATGTTGATGAAATAATAATTATTTAGTCTATCCTGTTTCAAATTTCTCAAAAACAGCGTTAATTGTCGAACTTTGAAATTGCATCGTTATAACTTCGAGAGGTAACGTCAATACATAATACCTAAGTACCTAACTATACACTTATATACTGCAGAAAATAAAATATTCACGCTATTAATAATTATCAACTTCCGTCATCACTATGAAGCGGTAGTTATTAATAATTTGTTTCGCGATTTTCACTACTCGATTGCCGTAATAATATTCGTCAACTATAATATCATTATGAGTTTTTGTAATTATTCGAGCCATGACATCATCGTGGGCATAAAAGGCACAGTATCTATATAAATATCGCCAGGAGTGAATTAATTATAGGTACCACACATTGCATATAGTACGGTTTTACAAATAATTTGAGTAATCATTTACAACTGTGCAATAAAATGTTTCCGGTATTTTTACTTAAGTATATAATAAATATTATCGGGAGCCTAATTTGTGCACCTATATAGTCTGCACTTCTAAATCACGTACAACTATATATACTTCTGACATATCATAACGTTGGGTTCTTATTGGAAAAATACAACCACGTATAGAGAAAACAGCGCAGCTCTACAGTATCGATATAGGTAATTCGAGTATTTTATAGTTCAAACAATAAGTTTATTCAAACAATTATTGAAATATAAATAACTGTATTAATAGTAATGTATTATAACATAAGGTTTGGATCACATTAAAAAAGATATAAAAAATTAACTTATCTTATACCAGCTTAATTGGATTAAATGGTTGTTTTTTAAATTTTAAATGTGCTATTGATTTTTGTTGCTATATGTATAGACGTTTTATATATACCTACTTGTTTAAGCGATGACGTTAAAGATTCTTTTTCAAACTTGAATAAAAGATTTGTATTAAAAGCTTTCGAAAAAACGTTTGTAACAAACAACTGACGTTTTGTTTACGTTTATATTGGGTTTTTTTTTTAACTTTCCACTACATTATTTTCAAGCCAACGGTTTACTATGATGACAGGTGTATTATGCGCATTTTGTTTAAAAATATTACACACGCAGGTAGATTTATAATATTCAACTGACATTTTCGGAATATAAATTACACAACAACAAAACTGTTCATATGGTTTTGCTCTTATAACCTGTTTTATTTTTTATATTTTAATAAAGAATTTATTTTTGGTGTTTATTTACACACATAGGAATGAAGATTATTATGACTTCTATAACGTTATTTTCATATATGTCTACAAACGATAGTAAGTTATAAGTATATTGTTGAAAGGAAATAATAGTGCAGTATCATTGCCTTCGTCAATAAAATAAGCAGTTGCATTAAGCGAATCAAACATATTTAAGTTGTTAATCATTAATTTAATTATGAGTTTAAAATACCAAAAATGTAATTGAAATCCATGACGAGTACTAAACATGTGGGCCGAATGTAAAAAATAAGTTAGGGAAGCTCACTCTGAAGCCTGCTAAATACCAGGTTTATTTTAATTCAAAGCAATGAACTATAATATTCCAAATAAAATTTAAAATTAATTTGGTAACCTTTTATTGGAAGTATATTTTAGATACTATGGGTCTATTTTAAATACTATTATAACAATAAATATAATAGAAACAATCGTAACTATATAATGTAACTACGAAAAATAGTGATTAAATAAAAATCCTAATATTAACAATAGTAACTTTATTATGATGCATGTACTGGTAACAAACAAAAGGACACAATGAGCTAAGCTAATGATTCTGAGCTTATGTTTAGTAACCTACAACAAGAGAATCATTTTTCAATAACAAATTATGATTGTTACCTATTTTATGGATTTCTAGGGAAGTAACTGCACTAAAGAATAGAAAAAGTGCACTATTCATGTAGGTAATTATTATTTTGACAAAGTAAATAAACATTTTATGGTCAATAAGACTAATTTTTTGTGATTTATATGGTTTTCGAATATTTAAAATAAAAAAAAATTATTTTTTGCTATATAATTAAATAGACATTAAAAAATATGACCATCCCATTTTACCATAAATTGTACATGAAATGCAATTAATGTTAAGACTATAATTTATGTTAATGTGTGTATAACAATTAATTACTCCAATTTTAAAAATAACCAACTAAAATCGATTAAAAATTTAAAGAAACATTATAAACATTATAGTCGTATAATTCATCATAATTATATTTGTTTTTAAACATTTAGTTTAAATATTATACATAGTATATATACGATCTAAATATATTTATAATAAGCATACTATGCGAGTAGGTCATTTATTTAGAGACAAAAGACTGCTGCAGGCTAGAAATAATTTACTTATAGGTACTTATCAATAATACATTTTGACTTGAAAATTATGATTTAAAATCAAAAGCTGCAACTTATTGCTTTTATAGAATAAATAATTTAAAAAGAAAAAGAAATAAACAAACTTTTTGTTACATATAAAATACCCAATGATCAAAAAAACGCTGAAAAGGCATTGCTCATTTATAAATAACGTATATGCTTATTACTATTGTAACAATTTGCTTCTTGAGTTTTTCTATCATTAAAAAAATTAGTAAATATAAACCTATTAGCTAAAGCTATTTATCACGGCTTCGCTCGTATATCAGTAGCTTTATTATGACGAGTGACGATGAGTTAAGTGAAACAAAGAAACATATAATAATATTATACCAAACAACAAGATATAGGTACTCTGCAGGATTATTATAAATTAAAAATAAAACCTCTTTGTTTCCTTACATTTTTTGCATACTTATGAAAATTAGTAAAACAATATTCGCAATACCCAAAATATAAAATTCACCCCCCCCCCCCCATTCACCTTTTAACCCCTTTAGATTTTGTAAGTTCCGGAATACATTAATTTATTGTGACGATGAACGCTCATCAATACCAATACCCAATAATAGTTTCAAATACATTTGAACATAAAAATATTATTTCCCATACAAATAACATTGGCACCCGGGATTCTGAAAATCGTTTCTCATACGACGACAATAATGGAAAATCAACACCCTCTCCAGATTTAAATTTCAAATTTCAAATTTCCATAATCACATTAGAGTGGTAAATATAGTTTCATTCACTTAAGAGTTGATTTTAAAAAAATGTCCTATCTTCAGGTACTATAATAATACCCATCTCTATAGCAAGTTTCGTCAAAATCGGTTTAGCCATGAAATCGCAATAGCCAGACAGAGTGATATTTGTAATCAATATATTATGCAGATATAAAATATAGGTACAAAATAAAATATAACAAACATTTTTCAGTACGACAGTATAGCCTGTTAGTGGGAATTCATATATATAGTAAATTATTAAGTTATAGGTATACTAGTATGGTTTATTTGTAAGAATAACTATAATAAATGCACGTGACATTTATTAAATCTGCAATCACTGGAGTATAATAGTTTGATTATTTTCCGCGATGCAGGGTATATAATATTAATATATTATATTGGTCCGATTATTACCGGACAAACGTAAATCGGTGTTTGTGTCACGTGAAATCTGTGTGCTTACTGAATGAATATAATAATATTAAGTAATATAATTCATAATATCATAATTATTACGACTGGAAATGTAATGTCTTGTAACAACCCAAAAAATGCTTTTATATGCCCTAATAAATCAAAACAATAATAAAAAGCACTCTCCAAATTTTATCTTAAACACGTTTTGGGTTGAAAAATATTCTTTATTAAATTTAAAAGGGGCTGCACAATATCAAGTCTTCTGTGTGGACTTAAATTTAAAAAAAAAGAATAATTATTCGATGAACCTTTGTAAAAACCTTGTTCGATGCACGTGGACAATATAATAATTTTCAAAGAAAAATCATAAAATTTAATTTTAAAAACAAACTGGATTTTAGTGTTGAATGCCATAAAATAACATAAAAATTGAAAATTGATAGCAAAAATGCAAAATAAAAACTTATTATTCCTGATTCTGCAAAAATACATGAAACGTACGTATATATATACGTTGTGAAACAAGCATCGAGTAGTTGACTTTGGAAAACAATGCAATATTTACCGAAATCCCAGCCCCAAATAAAATAAAATTGTGAAATATAAACATCGAGTGTGGTGATGGGTTACCTACTTCCGAGGGTACATCCTACCAATTCGTAACTTATAATAGAGAAATCACACTCACCGGCTCCGGAAGGGTCGGTGGCGAAGTCGACCCGAGGCCTCCACCTGGGCAGAACAGCGGCGGGTGCCATGAGCTTTCTGGTGAACTTGTTCGGGTCGAGTATGTTCTCGACGGAAAACGCGAGCCGGCCCTTGCTGTTGCCGCTCGTCTCGTAATCGTTGGCCGCGGCCGCGGTGTCCATCGGGACGACGGCGGCCGCGCTTCCTGTCTGCTGGTGCAGGCCGCGGTCGCTGCAGTGCAGCAGTCCGTGGCCGGCGACCACCCGGCCGCCGTGCAACCGGTTGTTGGTCATGTCCACCGGGTCCTCGTCCACGTTTAGCTCGTCCACGTTCAGCTCGTCCACGTTCAGCTCGTCGTCCTCGTCGGACGTCAGCCGGTCGTCAGCCGCGGCCACGGTCACCACGGTGGTACACGTCGGTCCGGCTTGTGCGGCACCGGCCGTCGCGGTACCGGTGCAGGTGAACTGCGGCGAAACGGGCTGTAGCTGTGGCTCATTGCAGCCGGCCGACGTCAGCGCGTCTGGTTCGCCGCCGCAGCTGTCGGGCGTCGCGGCCTGCACGGCGGCTGGTTTCGAAAACGGACTCGCTGAATGGTGACGTATGCCGTTCAGCCTCATCTCGTCCGCGTAGACGTTGTTATTGTTATTGTTATTGTTGTTGGGGTTGTTGTTGTTATTGTTGTTGTTCTGGAGCAAACGTTGCATCATCATCATGGTCATCATTGCGTTCCTGCAGTTCGCTTATCACTGCCGTTGCAAGCCGCCGAAACGCATCACTGCATGCACTGCAGCAATGCAGCGGATAGCACAAAAAACGCGCAGCCTATAAAGTGTTTATTATTTTTTATAAATTATATTTATTATCTACGGCAATGTATAATATATTGAATAGCGTATTATCGGAGGTGTAGCCGCGAAAAATCCTCGGACAAAAAAGTCGAAATGCCTACGAAATACAGTGCAGTAACGAAACGAACTATTTTACGCGGCTATCGCGACGTATACGGCGGCGACGACGACCACGACGACCACGACGACGTTCGTGTACGGTACGGATCAACACGTGAGTAGCAATAATTGCGTCGCTCGCGCACAGTCGATCCGTCGGCGGCTTTGGCGGTGGTTCCTTTGGGTAGGGGCGAGTGTGGCCAGCGTGGCGGCGGCGGCGGCACCGCGTTGGGCGTGCACCGGTCCGATTGGCGGGCGGCCGATTTGTGGGCGCGGCCGGTCGTCGGCGATTCCCCCCTCCCCCTCCCCTGCCACGTCAAGGTTTTTACGTTTTCGTTTCCACTCGACGTTCGGCGCCGCGCCTAACACTATTACGCCGCGGCCGGGCGTTGATCAACAATCGCGGCGCGTCCACTCCTCCCCCGCGAAGCAAAAACCACCCCCGCCAGCCATCACCCCCTCTCCCGTACGACCGTCTCGCCGACCACACTTTACTCTTCCGAGACGGGCGTATCTGCCGCCGCCGTCCGCTCGTTTAACCGCGCGCGAACACAACCCTCAAGCCCGCCGCCCCGGAAATTCGTGCACCGGATATAGATAATTATTGAGCCCACCTTAATTTCGCACGTTTACCCAAACCCGTTTACTATAGTAATAATAATAATATTGTTATTATTATTATTATTATCATCAGCCAGGTTTCGACTGTGTACACATATAATAATATACCTATATGTGTGTAACGTAACCGCAGACGCGGGTCAATAAATCATCCGCGGCAGTGTGGTGCGCCGCCATATATACCACGGCGACAGTTTTGTAATACAATATAGGTATACTATAATACATGTACCGCCTAATACGATTACAATGTCGTATATTATGACATTATAATATATATATATATATATATATATATTTATCGTTATATCGCGCAAAAACTCGGAGTTTTCCAATATGTATATGTGTCTACGCTTAGGTGCCCATACCGCGTATTATACGAGGCATACTGCGGGCATCATAATTTGGAGATGGAAGATTGGCACATATATAGGCATTTACATCGTATATATTGTTATACGAGTTTCAAAGGATTACCTGCACCTGTACAGCAATATTATCCGTTTCCGTCAATACCATATAAATAATGAAAAAAATATGTATGTGATTATATAACAGGTATACCGTTTCTGTCAAAATGTTGTAAGACAACCGACATTTCATGAAAGTTAATATTTTATTATATATATTTGAATTTAACCACACATATAGTTTGTACCTATAAATACTTCACAGTTCACATATCATTCATATAGATATAACTTATTTTTTAATATTCTTAATGAGTTATTATACCTATATATTGGTACCCAGTTGTATTGCCTATATTTTTTTATATTAAAAACATTATAACAGACATATAATAACCATATGCAAAGTTATATAAGTATAATACGGATATTACTCGCAGTTATAAGACATTACGATTTCTAATTTAAATATAGGTCATATATTGTTTAGGTATAGTACCTTTATGTGAAATTATTTTAAATAATGTAAAAGTGAATCTAATAAACAAAACCTAATGAACTAACATATTATTACTTATTATCTCAAACACCCATTAAATATATACATTTTTTTAAGTTTATCTGTTTAACTGTGTAGGGAAGCTTGTAAGTAGATATGTCGCTCTGTTGTACATTAGGAGGTAACAAGTGTGTCACTGCAACGGATGGTGTTAAATTCGAATTCAATGATATAAAATCATTGTGAACGAAACACGATTCTGAGCGAAGATGATCGGTCGACTGTCAGCCTATAATATTATACTTAGTAATTTAGTATTCGTGATGATGTCATTGTGATTAAAGTAATTTATTTAACTATTAAGCATTGGTACTTCAGTAGACCAAAAAAATTACATTTGAAAAGTCATTGTGTGTATAAAATATAACAATATAAATACTCTACAAGTTTCTGCAAATAATATTTTTATATTACAACAATATAACTATTAAATCATTATTTTAGGTTATATTTTAATATGTAATTCCGTAGAAATTTGAACATAAAAGTTACAATAACTATGTAAAAAAAAACACTGTTAATATATTTTTTAGATTCTTTGGTTGCAGAATAATAACTACTTGTGTGCCATTATGTTATACATGTTTGATCTTTAGCTTTAAAAGTTGAACATTTTATAAATACTTAAACAAACAATAATTTGTAAATTTTCATTTCGATAAATGATATAAAAATGTGAACATTAATTGCTTATAAAACAAAATCTCGCCCGTGTATTTTTAATATTTCTCAACTGGTATTGTAAAAATAAATAATAAGGAGCCTCATATTATTTTCACTACGCTTTTTGACCTAACAAATAAAATGTTATTGACATTCATATCAGTTTATGAATTATTTTTTAAACATGGGAAAATACAGAATACTAACTCATTTACTCCCAAAATGAATGTCCAATTGCAGTATAATACACTATTAAATATTATTTATAAATTATTGTCAGCCAATAACCCCTGGAAATTTCCCTCATCACGCAATGACATTTAATCAGTGTACCTATTAATAGTTTTATCGAAGCAGTGGTCTGAGCCATTTAGGTGGAAACAGAAATCAAATATTTCTAGAAATTGTTGGAAACGAGCCGAAGCGCCCAAGGCGGATACATGCAATACTACCATATACATACCATATCGCGACCATGCATGCTACGCATAATATGTAGGTTATAGGCCGATTGTTGGGATACTTGATAGATTGACATGGTGAGTCCTGCAAGTACGTATAACAACGTATCATCATCATTACATAAAAAGTTTCAATGATGATATAAGCTTATTAGTTATGTTTTAGTATGATATAGGTGAGTACCGTACGATTTAAGATAGTTTTGTATCATTATATTGAGATAATGTAGTCGAACAACTACAATTTTTTCGACCTTTCACGATCGAAATACCTATGTATAATGTATATAGGTAGTAGATCTGAGCACAACTGAACCCAATCTTGTGATATTTTCACCTTATTGTATGCACATATTAATTAAAATACTGAATTGACAATTTGAAGTTATAGGAACGTTTTCTGTGTTTATAGGCATACGATGGCTGTTTTATAATATTAAAATGTTCGAGCGTGATATAGTTATTATAATGAAACATGATCATTTTTAATTGTAATATAGTTTATATAATCATAATCCATAACTTGCATACTAATTGAAACATCGTAAAAAAGCGAACATAAAAATACTGCAGATAATAATAATAATAAATAAAAATAATATATCATAAAATTGTTATAAACTTATAAACATACATAATATGATTAGAGGTGAATTTAAGCATTGACATAAATATATTATTAGTTATTGTAATGTAGTTAATTATTGTTATACATTTCAACCATTTCTCGTTTTGTTCGAACGTCGAACACTGTTTTACAAAAGCTATCATGTTAGTTTTGGCCGACATTTGGTTAATCGTGTGTTTATTTTATGTAAATTTTTACCATAATTTTTACGTTATAATTAAATATGAAATATTTTTTAAACGTTAATAGAATAATATTTTGCGTAGGGAGATGAATATCATATTTAACTCAGTACATTAATAAATAATAATACATTTTCGAGACGGATCCCTTGTATCGTTGTATGGCTCTGGAGGTGGCTATTCCTCTTCGTATTGCAATTCAAGATGTACCTATAATATTAATATCACTAAAATTATTACAATATTGTTAACAATTATTTAAGGTTGTTTATTATTATTTGTAAATTTTAATTTATAGCGATACAGACAATATCTAACTATTCTAACTGACTACCTCGATATTCAACTGAAGAAAAATAGGTAAATATTAAACGCTTATGAAGTTATTTAAAATATGTATAATACAAGGTAAAAATAATTTTTTTTATTTTCATACATTCAAAAATATACTTTCATCCAGATAAGTACTGGCTACAATAATTTGCAATATTTATCTCGTGGTATTATTTGGGGGGGGGGGAGAGGCAAGAGTGGTCCTCCAGAACTATGTTTACCTAATACCCAGGAACAATTCTAGGAAGGGACGATTGAATCTATAGAGTGTTGAGGAGAGGCAAGCCCCATTCTCTCGCTTTGCTATATGGGAAAATAGTCAAGAGATAAACATAATAAATTACAGGAATTCATTGCTATTATATTTTTTAAAAAAAGCCTTTTATATAACCCAACTAATTAATAGAGACCTTACAGAAAAAATATATCTTTCAATATCTATATTCCACTTCATGAGTTTTTTTATTATAGCGGTACCTATTGGTTTTGACTTAAACATCGTCAAAATACGCAATTGAATCTCAACTGCACTTGTTATGCATAGAGTGAAAAATGAAAATGTATAATCGACTTTTCATTCGCGGTCAATGATTTTCTCATATGCACATATCCTAAAACCATATTATGCACAATCATCTACATAATATTGTAATATAATATATTATTATATTAATTATTAATTATTTATATCGTGTGATATACACTATAATACCTACGTGGACTATAATAGAGGGACAATAACATTATTTTTCGGGCTGGATATCAAACGCACCGTCAACTGCAGTGCAACGTTCTATCCCTCGAAATGATATATACGCGGTAACTTTATTTACACACACACACACACACACGCACACACACACACACACACACACACACACACACACACGCTCACCCTCTTATCCCGAAAAACCAAGCGAATAGGACTGCAATATGTCTTCGCGTGCGTCCGAATTTAAACGGCGAAAAAATACAACGGCAGATGGTTAATTCCGTATATACAATTAAAACGATTTCCAAAGCTATATCGCGGTGTACGTTTATAATAATATAATATAATATCAACTTGAATAAAACATTTGATTCCGTATCATTAACGCTGTTCCTATATACATCATAGCTGATGATTACGATTTCCTGATTTTTTTTTTCGTTCAACCCGACTACGGTCCTTTTTACATTACATAATATACCGCGACCCTCCGCCGAGAATCATATACACATACACACATGAGCATATTATATTTATTTGTATACATATATACACATACATATATTAAACTATATACGTCCGTA